ACGAGCCCGTAAGGCAATGCGCGCAGTTGCACGCCTTGTTGATTATTATTATTATTATTTGATTTGCATACACAGATGTACAAGGACACCGAGGAAAGAGGGAGACAGCAAGCTGGCAACTGCCACGTGGAGGGGCACAACGCCTGCCCACTCTTTCGGGAGGAGGGTAATGATGCATTGTGCCAGAACACTTCGTAAAGGTTGAGCCTGCGTGATAGTTGCGCATATTCCCAAGGTGCGACGCTTAGCGCGATCTTACGATTAGGTGATGCAGTATTTCACGTGTTAACCCGCCGCTTCGCACTGCGGGATGCCTGTATATGTGGTTTTCGTTTTTGGAAGCAGGTCAAAGAACTGGCGTAGCCTGCATGTAGTAAAGCACATGCCTACGCCGCAAGAGGCCTAGGTTCGATTCTGGCTCAACCACATGATTTTTATTTTTTGCTTCCGTCGCCATTCTATGCTAACGGACAATGCCGATTTTCTTTTCTCGCAACCAACGACGCAGATTTTTTTTTTTTTTGAGAAAATGGTTCTTTAACGCTGTCACATTTCTCCGCGGAAGCTTTTGCTAACAACAGACACCAAGAATAAATGTGTTGGCGTCTGTTATTGAATGATGCCGCTTTTCATGCATGTTCTTATTTACCGAATTTATTATTCATTTGTTTTTTTTATTTCTTTGTTTTTTTAGAGTGAAGCTCGCTGCAAGCTATACATTATCGGCGGATATGGCGGCGTTGTCGTGCGCGAAAAACCAGGCACCAGCGGGCGTAATATCGGCGTAAAGTGAAACCCGAACAGAGGCAAGCCTTCGCGGTGGTATAGTGTGCGCCATCCACTCATCACCATGGACATCGCGCGCACCCTGGTGATAAGTGGACGGTGATGGTGATAATTAATTGGACGGTGCACACTATACCATCGCCGTGAACACGTGCCGCTGTTCGGGTTTCATTTGACGCAGATAGCGGAAATCCAGCCCCTGGAAGGTGCGCCTATCGCATATACGCATTTGTATACGCGCCGTTTTACAGTAATCGATGCTCCCTCGATCGTGTCCTTCTCCGCGATCAGCCTTTTGTAATACGGCAGCATGAGTTGTTTTTTTTTTTTGGAGGGGGGGGGGGCGACTTGTCATTCTACGTTGCCCCGAAGTTTCGTTGTTGCCTGTTTGCCAACGTACGAACATCATTTTTGCGCACAGCGACTGAAGTGTTGCGCTGCTTAGCACACGAATGAAGCCTTGAAGGTTGAATTCGCTGCATGTAAGTAGGAAACTGTTAGAAGAAATCATTGTGCAAATGGATATAAAGAGAAAAGTTGCACGTTGTGCGCGCACATTTCAAGTTTCCGTTTGCCCCCATTTTTCCACATAGGGGAAGGGATTCTACATTCTTTTTTTTTTGTTACTACTACCTATTCAGCGCATGCAAATTTTATTCAACGTCTTCAAAAGTCCTGTATGGGGACCGCGCTTTTGTGGACGGGCCGCCGACACTGTGAGACGCGGAGTCGGGGATGGATTCTTACAAGAGGAGCGACGTCATGGCGGTTATCACTCGAACCTGTGCCGGAGCATTTGTTGAGTGCTCGTTTCTATAAATAGACGCGGTGCGTGCTCTGACCTCCTTTGCAGAACGATATTACCGGTATAACGAAAGTCATCTCTTACTACTTGCATACGACGTGATTCTTTAACGCTGCGCTACCTTTACGACGAAATAATTCGCATAACGAAGCGCTATTTCTTTAACCCTTTAGTGTCTGAATTACGGAACTGCCCATGAAGAAGAAATAAAAATTGTTTTCCGTTTTCAGCTTCAAATAGCAACCTTTAAATGATTCCACGGCAAAACTATCCAAGGTGCACCTTTAATGCATACTTTTGTGTACGTTGCGAATTCTCCGCATGCCAGCGAGGACCTTGCAACGAAAAACATGCCTCAGAGCTACGCAACATGTTATGTGCCACGTCTTAATCATGTACACACCAAATAAACAAAACTATTGAATATGACACTTGCGTCAGCCGAACGAGAGAGAACGAAGTGAGCGCCTTCGCATGCGCTTCGCCTTCTCCACAATCAGCTACAAAACATGCGTCAGCCGAACGAGAGAAAACGAAGTGAGCGCTCTCGCATGCGCTTCGCCTTCTCCACAATCAGCTACAAAACATGCGTCAGCCGAACGAGAGAGAACGAAGTGAGCGCTTTCGCATGCGCTTCGCCTTCTCCACAATCAGCTACAAAACATGCGTCAGCCGAACGAGAGAGAACGAAGTGAGCGCTCTCGCATGCGCTTCGCCTTCTCCACAATCAGCTACAAAACATGCGTCAGCCGAACGAGAGAGAACGAAGTGAGTGCTTTCGCATGCGCTTCGCCTTCTCCACAATCAGCTACAAAACATGCGTCAGCCGAACGAGAGAGAACGAAGTGAGTGCTTTCGCATGCGCTTCGCCTTCTCCACAATCAGCTACAAAACATGCGTCAGCCGAACGAGAGAGAACGAAGTGAGCGCTCTCGCATGCGCTTCGCCTTCTCCACAATCAGCTACAAAACATGCGTCAGCCGAACGAGAGAAAACGAAGTGAGCGCTTTCGCATGCGCTTCGCCTTCTCCACAATCAGCTACAAAACATGCGTCAGCCGAACGAGAGAGAACGAAGTGAGCGCTCTCGCATGCGCTTCGCCTTCTCCACAATCAGCTACAAAACATGCGTCAGCCGAACGAGAGAGAACGAAGTGAGCGCTTTCGCATGCGCTTCGCCTTCTCCACAATCAGCTACAAAACATGCGTCAGCCGAACGAGAGAGAACGAAGTGAGCGCTCTCGCATGCGCTTCGCCTTCTCCACAATCAGCTACAAAACATGCGTCAGCCGAACGAGAGAGAACGAAGTGAGTGCTTTCGCATGCGCTTCGCCTTCTCCACAATCAGCTACAAAACATGCGTCAGCCGAACGAGGGAGAACGAAGTGATCGCTCTCGCGTGCGCTTCGCCTTCTCCACAATCAGCTACAAAACAATTGGTTCTATAGCATGAAATATCTTACGTGAGACAACTCTAGATTTCTCCCGCTTAAAGCTACGTTCCCCGCGAGTACTTGACAGCCGTCATTAAAAGCGGCACGCATTACGTGACTTGCTTGCTCGAAGTTTTTTCCGTATGTCGCGAATTGTGGACACTAAACGCAGTAAGGGGTTAATATTAGTCCCGAGCACCTAGGTATACAGGTATTTTATAACGGGATTTACGATTTTCACGCGATACTTATTGTGGTCAGTAATGATAACACCGGATCACATGAAAAAAAAAAAAAAAAGAGGACACATTGTTTATTCACAAACAGCAGCGACGAGTTTCGAACGTATACAATGTTATACGCGCGTCGCTTATGCCGCGACATTTCAATCGTAAAACGTCGCGTCCTGGATCATTCTTTGGCGTTTGAGTTGCGAAAGCACAACCGTTTGCTTGTCTTCACGTGAATAGCCACAATCACGCGTTCTTAATACCTTTTTTTTTTTAGTTGGCCAGCGAGTTACAGTGACCAATCACCCGATGACAAGCAACTGGTTTGCTTTCCGAACCACTAACATAATATTGCACTCCTGTACACATGGACGAAGAAACAACTGGAAGATAACATTACAAAAGAAACAAAAAAGGAAGTGCCAGCTAAACACGTGATCGCCGCGTCAGAGCGTGCGTGCATCGTGATACGCGGTAGAAGTCTCGTGTCGAGCCAATACGATGCCACAAAAGGCTGAGGACATGACCACGCGCGCTGTTTCGCTCACAAAGTCTGTCCGCGTGGACGCATAATTGCTCTATCCTGTTTTACTTCCCCAGTCCATGCCTGCACAATGCCAAATTCCGCCGCCTCGTAGAAATCGCCATCTTCTCACCTCTGATTGGTCCAGAGGGCCACTGCAGCTTCTCTGATTGGCTGACGGAATGCCGCCATTATAGACGCCCGATGCACCTTGACAGCGAGAGAAATTAAAGAAAAGGGCACATAAAAGTGGGACAATTTATCGCTTGTGCTGTCTGTATGCGTCCCTTGTTTTATCATTCGCGCTGTCGTGACGCGTGGGTGTTCAAATGACCAAATATACAGCCCGTATACTTCTTCGCTGACTGCTATGACAGGCCGACTTGAACAAGCGACTGTAACAGCAATGTCACACACCGCGAAAGACAAGACTGGACTATGACTGAGTATGCGCGCGTGTGCTGCCGAATGTGCTGTTTCTCTCTTCCCTCTGCTCTCTTTCATCTCCCCCATCCCTCTCCCATGCGCAGGGTAGCAAACCGGCTGCCTATAGGCTGGTTAACCTCCCTGTCTTTCTTTTCCCTCTATTTTCCTTCCGCTATGACAGGGACATATGCGATGCGGAATTGCTTGTGACACGTCCTCGTAGGTTTCCTAGTAGCAAAAAAATCCCCTTAACGTGTGGGAAGTGTTACGTCGGACATTTAGGAAATCTCATAATCATTGATACGTAGATTGCGTGAACAACATACTCGAGCTGGCAAGATGGATTCTAATGGTCTCCACACAGTCCATTGTAATCTGTATCAACGTTCTCTCTTTCAGCCCACCGAAATAACTGGTAACTGGTAAGACTTATAACTAAAGCTCAACGAATTGATGCGCTCGGAGATATATGTGCATCGGCAAGCCGTCGTTGACACTTTCGGAGAAATAATTTAAAATATCCGCGCATGTCTTGGCATATCACCGTGGCGCTTTGTTCACCGTGGTCTCGTGGCTGCGACTCGTGAGGTGACTGAGCAAGCGTACCCTGGTTTCCTAAAACAAATTGTTGTTGGAAGTCAACACCCTGCGTGTCAATGCCCGCCCACATTTGTCCCGTCATTTATTTGCGCTGCTAGGAAACCCGCTGAAGATGCTGCGACGAAATTCGACGAAGCGGTTGAATTCTGGGAGTCTCGAGCGCCACTCCGTAAAACCCGCTAATTTGACGCTATTTTTTCACGGAGAACAGCGACCCTGCGCGAGCAGCGAGCACTGCTGTCGACCAGACAGCACCACCGCAAAGGGATCGTGCATCGCGCCGCACACGACCGGAGGCCCGTCGTTGACGCAGCGCGGCAGCAGCGCCGCGGTGGCGGGACCCGGCGACTGCTGCTGTTGCTGTTGCTGCTGCTGTTTTCGCCACTTGGCCCGGCGGTTCTTGAACCACACCTGCAACGGGCGTGCGCTCGTCAGCGACGCGAGCGCCGCGCGCGACCCGATCGAACATGTCACCTCCACTCGCTCCTCCCGCAGGTGAACGCGCAGCGCTAGCTGTTCCCGCAGCGCCACGTCCGGGTAGTGGGTGCGCGCGAACGCCGCCTCCAGATGCGCTAGCTGCTGCTCGCTGAAGATGGTCCGGTGGCGGCGCTGGCGCGGCGGTGCCTGCTGCTGCGGTGCGACCACTCCACTCAACCGCTGTTCCTCTTGGCGCCGCCGCTGCTCCGCCTCCGGCGCTGCGATAGAAAAGAGCATCGCGGGGATGAAAGAAAGCGATCGGCTCTTTTCATATGAAAATGACGCGCGTGCAGACGGCAGCTGCGGAAATCGAATCTCCGTTTCTCTCTCACACACTCTCTGGTCGTGGGCGAAAAACGCGGGTGGCTGCTGCGGTAGGATTTCAGAGCGCTGCCGCCGCCCTTTAGCCGACTAAATCCGCGCGCCGGATAATCCGCATAGGAGAAGCCCGAAAGCGCGCGCGCGCAGCCGACGACACCAGTACAGTTTTGGAAAGCCACAAAGCAGCGCTCTCGCTCGCGCTAAATCTGCTTACAAAATCTTGCCCGGATTCTCTAACTCCCCCCCGAGGGTCCCCGCCATGCCACGCGGCTTAGGGGATCGAGCTATATGCCACTTAGCCTTTTCAGAGAGAAGCGCGTTATAGCGGAATCCGCGCCCGACGTTTCCCTCGCTGCGCGCCCTCTTAAAAAAGAAAAGGTGAAAGAAACAAAAAAAAAATGCTTTGAAATGTGAACGGTGTTTCGTGCAGGTGGACAAATTGTGCTACGCGCCGAGGCTTCTTATTTTTTTTTTCTTTTGCACGCGCACCGCCATAGTCGTGAACCTTGAGACAGGTCCCGCGTTATAAAAGAAGCTAGACTGCATTGAAGGACGTGACAGAATATATAACCAGATCAACACACACACACACCGGATATCAAGTGAAATAGCGCACAGACACACTCGACTACAGCAAAAGCTCGTTAATTCGACCCTCGTTGATTCGGAAAATCTGATCATTCGGACGCGTCCCCTGGTCTTGGCCAGCATATGCAGAGTGTTTAATGCCAGCAAACTCTCGTTAATTCGGTCATAAATAGCTGCAACCCGGTTAATCTGGACGATCCTCGGAGAGCAAAGTGCCACAAAAGCAAGTGACGCAAGAAAGTGAAACCGGCGTTCTTATAGGCAATCAAAACGAGGCGGTGCAGTCCACACCTCCATCTTCATCAGGGTCCACATGTGGATTTCACACACAGCAGCTTTGGCACAAGGAAAATAAGGGAGGAATGTTGGGTGCGTTTTTCGGTCTAATTAAACACGGGAGTCTGGCACCATGCTCGCATTGTGAACGAAGTTGCAGGCAGACGAAAATTACGGCTTATACACTGCTCTTATGCCGAATAAGTACAGGATTCATCTATACATCGAGAAACGGAAATGTTATTGATGTAACAGACATTCGGTTATTGTTTTATTGGTATTTTGTTGATAATTTAACATTCGTAACATCGCAAAACTTTCGGAGATAAATTACCCTTTATAGCGAGCTATTTTCAAGAATGATATTGCTTTACTGCAACCCACAAAAAATACTGCTATAACAAAAAAAAAAGCACTAAAATACGGAACACTTCGTATATCGAACATGGGGCTGTGCATAGAGAAACTCTATCGGGCTGTGTAAAACGTGCCAAGAAGTTGGCTTTCCCGCATGCATTTGTGAGAATAAGCGGAGGAGTGAATAGGAGAGCCGTATCTATGCCGCATTTTCTAGCCTACAACCCGTCCCTGCATGCATATAGCCCCCGCCCCCAACTACGAACCACGCAAAAAGAAGAACTAAAAAAGAGAATTGAAAAATAAAATCTCAGTGTTTTGCCTTCCTTGCAATATCCTTAAGAAGTTCGCGTGGCCAACTTGCGCGCCAACATTCCCATCGAAAATATGGAAAATTCCCTTCTTGTCTCCGTTTTTCTTATCTAATAAATACAAAATATGTTGAAATATATATCTGTTTTTGCGCGTTTATATATATATATATATATATATATATATATATATATATATATATATATATATATATATATATATATATATATATATATATATATATATATATATATATATATATATATAATTGTACCGAAGCATAGTGGCGCCAGCTCTGCGCCACCGACGAAATTTCCAAGGCCTCATCTATCGCCCCCTAACGAGATTGCCGTGTTTCCGGTGTTTGTGGACGGTTTCGCCACAACTGCTCTTGTCGACACAGGTGCCGCTATTTGTATAATCAGTGAAGTGTTATGCCGCAAACTGAACAAAGTGACGACTCCACTGGTTGAAATTTCTTTACGCACGGCGAGTTCGCAACACGTCCAACCTTCTGCCACATGCACTGCTCGTGTTGTGATTCAAGGAGTGCTTTACATCGTAGAATTTGTCGTCCTTCCGCATGCGTCTCATGAAATCATCCTGGGATGGAACTTTCTTTCCGCTAATCATGCGGTTGTCGACTGCGCTCGTGCTCAACTCGTTTTGTTTCCATTCAGCACGACATTCATAGATCTCCCTCGCTCACCCAAAAAGGTGATCGTCGCCGCTGACGTCGTCATTTCTGCTTTTTCGGTCACCGCGGTATCTCTTTTGTGCAACTCCGTTTCCGATTCAACTGCCCTATTTATGCCGTCACAAGAATGCGCTCGTCGCCGGAACCTTGTCGTCCCGTTTGCCGTCATAACACTTGCCGATGGCTCCAGTGCCGTGTACGTGTGCAATCCGTTCCCTTGTCCCGCTACCTTATTGCATGGCGAATGCATTGGGAGTCTTGACACTTATGATGACATCTTTCCTTTCGATGCCCGTTCTGATACGACACCGATGTCCGTGGATGCTGTCACAGCTGGCACCGCGCCCTCACTACCTGACGAAGACGTTCTGTTGCGCAGCGTAGACACCGGCCTTACGCAAGACCAGCGCAATCAGCTCATTCAACTACTTGACCGTTTCCGCGCCTCCTTCGACCACGGACAACCTCCCTTGGGACGCACGTCAGTTGTCGCTCACCATATCGACACCGGTCATTATACTCCACTTCGTCAGCGCCCCTACCGCGTCTCGCAGGCCGAGCGTGACGTCATCACTCAACACGTCGACGAGATGCTGCAACGTGGTGTTATTCAGCACTCACACAGTCCTTGGGCTTCGCCAGTGGTCCTCGTGCGAAAAAAGGATGGCTCCATCAGGTTTTGCGTGGATTATCGTCGACTAAACAACATCACACGCAAGGATGTTTATCCCCTGCCACGCATTGATGACGCCTTGGATTGCCTTCAAGGTGCGGAGTTTTTCTCTTCACTGGATCTGCGCTCTGGATATTGGCAAGTACCAATGGCTGAACCAGACCGTCCAAAAACGGCGTTTGTGACCCCTGACGGCTTATATGAATTTAATGTAATGCCCTTCGGTCTTTGCAATGCGCCTGCGACTTTTGAAAGAATGATGGACAGTGTCCTCAGGGGACTTAAATGGCACATCTGTCTTTGCTATTTAGACGACATAGTTGTATTCTCGGCGAATTTCGAAACTCATCTTTCCCGTCTGGAACAAGTTCTCCAGTGCCTTACGGCAGCCGGGTTGCAACTTAACTTCAAGAAATGTCGTTTTGGCGCCCGCAACTCACAATTCTCGGCCACGTCGTTTCAAAAGAAGGAATATCGCCAGATTCTGCCAAACTGCGTGCCGTTGCCGAGTACCCCAAGCCTACTACCCTAAAGGAGCTTCGTAGTTTCATAGGCTTGTGTTCCTATTTTCGGCGTTTCATTCGCAATTTTGCCTCTATAATTGCCCCTCTGACTCAGCTTCTCTCCCGTAGCACGGACCTCTCTGGCTGGAATTCCCACTGCGATGAGGCATTCACGGCGCTACGCCGGCTACTCATCTCTCCGCCAGTTCTCCGCCATTTCGATCCCAATGCACCCACTGAAATTCACACGGATGCAAGCGGTGTCGGCCTCGGTGCCATTCTCGCTCAACGCAAGGATGGCTGCGACGAGTACGTTGTCGCCTATGCCAGCCGTACACTAACGAAGGCAGAGTCCAACTATTCCGTCACGGAAAAGGAGTGCTTGGCTATCATTTGGGATATAGGAAAATTTCGCACCTACCTTTACGGACGCCAGTTTGATGTTGTCACAGATCACCATGCCTTATGCTGGTTAGCGTCCATGAAAGATCCTACTGGCCGCCTCGCTCGTTGGGCTTTACGCCTTCAGGAATACGATATCCGTGTTGTTTATCGCTCAGGACGCAGACATTCAGACGCCGATGCACTATCCCGTTCTCCACTGCCTCCTGACCTTACCTGCTTATCAACTGCCATTTGCGATTCGTCATCGTTGAGCATCACTGACATGCCATCCGAACAGCGCAAGGATCCCTGGATCAATTCTTTGCTCGACGTCCTCTCTCACAGTTCGTCAGAAACGACTTCACGCTCCCTCTCTCGTCAAGCAAGACACTTTGCTGTCCGTGAAGGCTTGTTGTGTCGCCGCAATTACGTGACGGATGGCCGTAGGTGGCTCCTTGTCATCCCTCGTCATTTGCGTTCGGACATCTGCGCTGCCTTTCACGATGACCCCCAGTGTGGCCACGCTGGAGTATTTAAGACTTACTCTCGCCTTCGTCTAAGATACTACTGGCGCGGCATGTATCGGCACGTTCGCCAGTACGTTCGGTCATGCACCACGTGTCAACGACGCAAGACGCCTTCTCACAGCACTGCTGGCCCTTTGCAACCCTTACCCTGCCCAGCGAGACCATTCGACCGCGTCGGAATTGATATTTATGGTCCTCTACCCAACTCTCTTCGAGGCAACCGGTGGATTATCGTCGCCGTGGATCATTTAACACGCTACGCTGAAACATCTGCGCTGCCTGCTACCACTGCGAAAGACGTTGCGTCCTTTCTTCTTCACCATCTCATTTTGCGACACGGTGCACCTCGTGAATTACTCAGTGACCGTGGACGCGTGTTTCTCTCGAACGCCGTCGACGAGATACTCAAGGCATGTCGCACTGTCCATAGGAAATCCTCGGCATACCATCCCCAAACCAACGGCATGACAGAACGCTTTAACCGTACACTTGGAGATATGCTTGCCATGTACGCCTCTGACGACCACACTAATTGGGACCAAGTGCTCCCTTTTGTCACGTACGCGTACAACTCTGCGCCACAAACAACCACTGGCTTT